TGATAAAAAAAATGTGATATATATAAATATAAATGAGATTAACAAAAAAAATTTAATTATATACTTAATATTTATATTATATTGTAATTAATTTTATTTTAATATATTTATATTTATATTCAATTATTTATATTTGTTAAATTACTAATTTTCTTATTTATATATTAATAATATATTTTATTTAATAATAAGATATACTTGTATAATTTTAGTTTGATTGAAAGTGTATATTTACTTTTTTCATTATATATATAAAAAAATTCTATTGCAGTAATTTAAATATCATTGAATTGTACATTAAAAAGTTCTAATATGGTAGAAAACATTGTTACATTTTTTTATTTCAGCACAAAAAATTTGTTAACTATTAAATTTAAATCTTTATTATATCATGAAAACTTTTATTTCATAAATGAGATTTCTAAATATCCGATATCAAATACTCTTAAATTTTACATTTGAAAAATTATAAAAATAATTTAATGAATTTACGTAATAATTAAATATTTTACATTCACATATTATAATCATCAATTTAATGAAAAAATCATTTTTTGATATTTTCTTGTGCAAATTTTTGTTTAGTTAGTGATCATTTTTTTTAAAGCAAATTAAATTTCTTTTATTTAATTCATCGGAATGTACAATTTGGTTGAAATTGTATAAAATTATACTAACCTCTCTTATAACTTCTTAATCTATATTTAATTCATCAATTAATAAAATTAACTATAATTACTTTTCCCTCTCTCACATTAATTAAAACAAAAAAATATTATTTTTTAGGGGAAAAATATTATTAGAATACCTTAAAAGCAACATATTATAATGCATATTTCTTTCAACAACAAATATATAAGCAATTTTACAAACATTTCTTATTTAATTTAGAACATTCATATTTATGAAACATTCCAATTCATTAATTAAACTCTCTTATTAATTTATTTAAAAAAAATTAAGATGATATAAGAATAAATATTATCAAATTTTGTTTACGTATATCAAAAAAGAAACTCAAGATATATGAGCAAGAGATAATGGCAATACTGAATGAAGTTAATGATCGGATGAGTTTCAAAAATCATGTTTATTTTTAGTAATTCCACATTATAAATTTAAATACTTACTTTTAAACAAAAATAACTATTTTATTGTATTTTATTTGTTTCAAATATTTAATTAAATCTAGTTTATCTTAATTTAAATTTTGAAATTGAAATCTTAATATGCCACGCAAATTGAATACGTCAAATTTTTCATATAAACTTTTAAGGGGAGTGTATTGGTTTAGGATTTCGTAGGATTTTAAAAGACTTTTTTTTAGTAAAAAAATCCATTAGTATTCAATCAGGATTTTATGTCACTTAAAAACAATTCAGTGGTATTTAATATGGATTTTCAAGATTTTTTAAAGAGTCCATTAAAATTCACTGGTATTCATTTGAGATTTTTTACAACTTAAAAACAATCCATTGGTATTCAAAAATATAAGGATTTTAAAGGATTGTTGTGTGAGAGAGATTTTGAAGGACTTTCTAGTGTTATCTATAAATACCAGATTCATAAAACAATCCCATCCAAACTCATCGGATTTTGAAGGATTGTTTGAAGCGATTTTTCAAGTGTTTCAAGAATTTTCAAATGAGTTTTTCATCTTTTTTTTTCTATGCTCCTGTCTTCTCCATTTTTTCTCTACTAATAATACTACACTATTATTCATTGCTCATATATAATATTGTAGTACTGTTCTCATCCCATTCCACTATTTTGTGAAACTCTGATATGTAAATGATAGTGTCATTGACTTGTTCTATTTTTCTGTTTGTTCTCTTTAATTGACTTGCTTTATTTTATTCTATGTAGTTGAATTTGTTCCTTTATATAATAAAAAAAATGCTTGAAATTTCAACTTTTAAGTGATAATTTTTTTTATAACACATGTCAAGAAAAGAAAAAGGTGAAAGATGAAATTGATATCATAATCTCTCTCTCTCTCTCTCTATATATATATATATAAGATGAATTTGTTAGGGTTTCTGTGAGTAAAATGAGATGAAAATGGATCTTAGTTGGGGGAAGAACTCTCTCAGCATAAAAACTGCGAACTCTCTCATTCCCTTGAATTTGTTACTCTTATCCCTCCTTCTATGACTCAACAATTATTTTATTTTTTTTACTATGAATTTTTCTTTTTATTTTTATATTGTGAAATTAAGATTTTTTTATATTTTAAAAAAAGAAAATTAACATAAGACATTGCAGTATCTAATTATTTAGGGTTTAGGATTTATGCCTTCATTAGCTTATTTTTTAAAAAAGGAAATATTGTTAAAATATTTGTTAGAATAATTTACATTTATAAATATCGTTAAAAATTATCATATAATATATAACTAAAATAATATATATATATATATATATATATATATTCCCTATATCTAAATACTTCCATTTATATAAAAAAATTATATATCTAAATATTTTCTCAGTATCGAATATACTAATTTTTTTAATATAAAAAATTATCTTTTGTTTCGATATTTTCGTTTTTACTTTTTTTTTATAATGATTGAGATATTTGATCCATTTGGATAGCCAAGATATATTCGATCTTGTATAATTGGTGTGCTTCTAAAAATAATAATATAATTTTATTGATTTTGTCTCTTATCCATAATTATTTATATAACTGGTTTTCAACATATATTATTTTAGTAATTCAAATGGGAGATTCACATGGAAATAATAAAGAAAAAGGAAAAGAGAAAGAAAACTATGAAGCTTGGACCAAGGAGGATTCCGATGAATTGTTACAATTGATAGTGGATGCTATAAAAAGATGATAGAATATTATGGAGAATTATTATTATTATTTATCTAGACATTATTGTTTTTTTTAATTATTTTATCTTTGACTCTTTTTAAATTTGAATGTATGAATTTTTTTTTAAATCTTATCAAATGTCAAAACTCCACAAAATCCCACAGAATCCATTAAAATCCTGATTTAAAAGTCTTGTAAAATCCATTAAAATCCTGATTTTAAGTCTTGTAGAATCCTGCAAAATCTTAAAAGTCATGAAAATCCTGCAAAGTCTTTTAAAATCCGCAGGATTTTTTTTCACTAAAAAAGTCCTTTAAAATCCTAATCCAATACACCCCCCCTAAAATTATTATAATCTTAATCAATTGAATTTAAAAACAATATATTTTCACAATTCCTTCATTAATGTTAAAAACAACACTTTAATTTGCTCTTTTATAATAAAATAATATATTACTAGCATTTTAGTCAATACTTTTTATAGCTAAACATTTATTATATATACTAAATTTAATAATAAATTATATATATAAATAAGTATTATATTTGAGTATATAAATTA